TTGGTCAAGCAAAAAGTCATTTTGATGTAACCAAAATGTTCATTAATTCTGACATTGTTGAAATTAACGAATTCAAGAAAGAGTTGGTTTATTTTGATTTATATTTAAAAAAATTTATATTATTTTTTTTATTTAAAACAATACAGTTTCTTATATTTAATTTTAAACATTACAGATTGAAAGCTGATAAAAATGGAGGTATGTCTGAAAAAAGCATAACTACACTCTCAAGCTACTCCTCTTCTTATATAGATTATTTTAAAGGGGATTTCACGTTTGTGAGATCAAAGAACCACTAAAGGTATATTTCATTATTTTATATCCATTAATTTTATTTAAAAATTGTATGTTTTTTTTTTAATTTTACATTTTATTTGATATAGGCAATGGAATTTCTATTTGTTGGTTCCATCGTCAATATAAAACAGAATCTACCTTGGTATTACGATGCGTGTTACAAATGTGGAAAAAAGATAAACACAGTGCCCAAACCCAATCTTTCCTATACTGCCCCTGACAAAATTTCAGAAAGTGTTGTTATTGAGTGTAAAGATGCAGTTTGCAATTATTCGAATTTTCATACTGTTACAAAGTATACACATATCTATTTATATTAATCATTTCAATCTTTCAACAAAATTACTATTAATCTAATATTTTTTTTGTTTAGGAATATAATTCCAATCAACTTACAAGATCATACTGGCACCATCGGATTTACTCTTTTTGATAGGGAAGCGAAAAGGTTGTTGGATATAAGTGCATACGAGTTGAAAAAAATACATGAAGCGGTATAATATTTTATTCATATTTTTGTATCGAATAACATTTTATTTGTTTAAATATATTGAACGATCTTCTTACAGGTTGGAGACAGTTTGTAACTATTTCCAAACAAAATGAACGTCTTGAAAAACCGCAAATTTGCGTTTCTTGTAGATATTACATCCTACAACGTCAACAACTATAATAATATCTACACCGTTGTCAAACTTACAGAAGATGTGTCCATTGTTTCCCAATTGGAAAGTAAACTAGAACTTATGGTACATAACGTTTTAATGTTCAACATTTATATTTGTTTTTTATTTACATACATAACGTTTTACGTATTTCCATTTTTTTTCTAGAGTACTCAATCAGTGTCCTTAAATGAAGTACCCCTGGAATCAGATGATGTTGTTCAGAATGTTCAAAAGGTATGTTATATTCTCATATTAACTTTTATTTATATTTAATTATTCCAATTGACAGCTTATTTTTTTTAATATAGGATGTGATATCACAAACGGATGAGAGTTTTACTCCCTCAACAGTTGATAAATCATCTGCAACCAGTCCAATGAAAATATCAAGTGATTTGAAGCGCAACCTCCATGACATTTATAACGTTGATTGTGGAGGTGATTTGAGTTCAACAAAATCTAAAAGAAAATCAATCGGAGAGGGAAATCCACTTTTAGTTCCAAAAGTGGAAAAGTGAGTTGTTTTTGGTTTTAACAAACAAATAAAATATTTTGATGTTGGTTTGGTTTTAAAAAATGTTTGGTTATTTGGTACAATGATTGTTGGAAATGTAGGTTGTTATTGGACGAATTTTAAGACGATGGTTCATTTTAATTTTATTCATTTTGGTTCATTTTTTATTATTCTTGGTTTTAATATAAATATTATTTTTATCTATTTGTTATATTTAATCAAAACATACATGTCACTCTCTCATTAACTTGGACACATGTCATTTTTTTGGTATTTTTGATTAAATGTTTTTTCCATTTGTCATTTTCTCAATTTTTTTGTATCATTTCTTAATTAACATATCATATTTACATCTCAATTAATAATTGCCTTAATTGAAAATAACCAATAAATTACAATATTAGTACTCATATAATATTTAATATGTTTCCTTTTAAATTTTAATTTTAAATTTTAAATTTCAAATCTAAAATTTCAAATTTAAATAAATTTTTGTTTCAACTTTCATATTTAGTTTTTTGTTTTATCAAACCCGTATAACATATGGGTTTCACACCTACTTTTTAATATATTTGTTATGATAGTTTTGACCATGTTAAGAAATAATAAAACTCGTTAAACTCATTTTTATTCCTCATGCTGTAATAATGAAGGTCAAGCAAAGAGTACAACTACAAGTAGAAACACCTTGTTTGAAAAATTCAACAGTAATTACCACCTATCCAATCCACTATCTTTTTTTCCCAATTCTCGAACAACTGGCCCATCAGAGAGTACATCTTCTAAAGCTCTTTTCACTTTCATCACCACAATCAACCATCAAGTTACACATAATCATATCCCTTTCTACTATTAAACCTCTAATAAGAACGAAATTGCATATCATAACTGCATAAGAACCAAACTTCTATTAAATCCCACTTGTATCTCCTCCTATACCAACCACTTTCTACATGCAAACATCAATGTTCAGGAGTACACTACCAAAAGTACCGTTGAGAAATCTACTTTTCTTTATCTATGAAATAAAAAAATGAGAAATAAATGATGGCCAAGACAAATACCATTTCGCATATATGATATCCTTTTTCCTACATTTTTCTCCTTTTAAGCAGATACCAAAATACCTCTCCCAACCTTTTCAAGCCAATCTAAAACTGCCTGTGGAAAACCACGAAAATCCATTGTCTTCTAATAAAAACACACACCCATATTAGAAAATAAAATCGACAAAACAACTTGAAAATACAAACTTTGAAAGAAAAAAAATCAAAACTGTCTCAAAACGAATAAGGATTGTTGAGAGGCTTTCAATTTATAATACCTTACTTGTTTCCAAACCAACATGAACACGGCTATTATATGATTTCATCTTGTTATCAACTAGTTTCTGTAGTACCCCAACCTGCACATGATTCACTAAGTTTATAACCAAATAAATAACTCTTAAAATCATTATTATAGTAATTTTTTAAAAATATAATAACTATAAAATGTTTTAACTATCATAAACTTACAATAAAAGCAACAAATGAATCAAGAAAATAAAAAATCTTCATTCGAAGTACCTATAGACAAAAAAAAAAATTGTTTGCATATATTCAGATTGTAT